GGCCGGGAATTCGAGCTGCCAGTGGCTGTTGCTATGCCACTGCATCCAGCGTGTATGACAGAGCAGACCCTATCTCTAAAAACAAACAAACACAACAAGAACACTTATGTATAGGTTTTCTAGAGCTTAAATAATTTACTTGGGGTTATTATTAAAGAAATAACAGAAGCATTATGCTTCAAAATAGAGCATGTAGTTGAACAATCCTGCTGCCTCAGCCTCCCAAGCAGTTAGGACTACAGGCATGCCCTACAAATCCCAGCTAATTAATTAATTAATTTTTTTTTTTTTTTGGCAGAGATAGAGTCTTGTTTTGTTGCCCAGGCTGGTTTTGAACCCCTGGCCTCAAGCAATTCTCCCATGTCAGTCTCCCAAATTCTTGAGATTATACATGTGAGCCACTGCCCCTCACGTAAGTTTTAGATTTTTATTTTGTCATTAAAGTGGTTAATCAGCTTACAGATGGGACTTATATTTCTGAGTTCCCCAGGGTCACTTAACAAAACAGGTACAGGTTGCAGAACTATCATGGCAAGAGGGTCCACAGACTTAAATACCTACAGAATACCTACAGAAACAGGCAGACAGCATAAGTGAAGAATGCAGGCAGGAGGGGTGGGGAGTGTGGCAAACTAGAGAGCACACTCTCCATGTAAAGGGGAACAGCCGCTACTAAGTTTCAGCTGATTGTAGAGTTGTTCTGACATTGTTTATTCATCCATTCACTCATTCATTAACTATTTGTTGAGATACTAGATACTGATTTATATTTTGGAGCTAGGGCTGTGTACAGATCTACAATGTTTCTGTTCATATGAAACTTATAATTTCCAGGGAAATCATTTATTCTAGTTTTTAAGAGAAGCTAGAATCCAGACTTTGATCAGGATTTGGATTCTCCTTCCAAGTGTTGACTCAAGAATGAAGAGTTGAGCTACCATTTGAGCCAGCAATCCCACTACTAGCATATACCCAAAGGAAAATAAACCTTTCTACCAAAAAGACACATGCACCTGTATTTTCATCACAGC